GGCCCATCCTTCTGAAAGAGCCTGTATCCATCCATGGGAGCGCTCCAGTCGTGTGAGCTATCCTACCACCTCTCCAAGATCCCAATGAGATCATTGTATCTGCTTGTACCTGCATGCAGATCTCTAATTGCTCCCGGTTGTTCACCGTGCTGTGTGTTTAAGCATACAGGCACTTCAGAGGGACACCTGGCATGCTGATTTCCCAGAAAAAGGGCGAAAGCTTCCTCCATAAGGCTGTTCTATAGGCACTTCCTAATTGGTGCGCACTCACTTGAGGTGAATGCCCCTTCAGCCCCATTTTGTTTATTAAGAGGTCTCTTAATCCGTGTCACCGTGCACCCTTTGCTTGCCAACCCAGTCCAGTACTTCCTCACTTGGCTGTGGGTCGTCATCGCCCACCCCCATCGTTGCTGGTTTAAAGCGCTCCCTACCACGTTGGCAGTCAGTTGGCAAAGATGTTTTTGATGCGCTTGGTCAGGTGGATCCCATCTCTTCCTAGAATCCCCCCATCCTCCGAGAGGTTGTAAAAGCCAAATCACTGTTGTCAACACCCGCTGTGTAACTGGTTGTTGACATGTATGATCCATCCAGTACTCCTCTAGCCCTTCCCCCTGACTGGCAGGATGGAGGAGAAAAGCACCGGGGCCCCCATGCCCTTGACCATGGCTGCAGAGCCCTGTAGTCACACTTGATACGCTCCAGGTCTTCCCTGCCCTTACCTCTGGTGCCCACATGTTCATTTTGACAGATGCCTTCACTGCTTTATCTTATTGTGGCAGCTGATGGCCAAAGGAAGGTAGTTAAAATAAAACAATGCATAGGGGCTTGCTGAGAAATTCCCAGACCCTCCGCTAGATCCGTGTGACCAGCCCGAAATTACCACAGGGACTAAGTTGTGTTCTGCTTAAGCTTCTCTTGCAACCGTACTGATTTGCAAAAGAGGTAGCAGTGAACGATAAAGGACGGAAGGAATGGGAAACTGCTTAATTTAATGCGTGTACTGAGACGCATGAGCTACGCAGTGTATATAAGAACAGCTCCGTGATAAGGGTACAGCACAAGCTAGGAGGAGGAGAGCCCTAGCCCTGAAACGTTGAATACATGAATCCGTGTGTGCTGTCTGGGCTTTCTGCAGTAGTGTCGCATGATGTCCCATCCTTAAACCTGACCCAGGCAGTTTAATAAGCCAGAAAGATTTCTGGCTCTAGGTCCTGTACCTGGGACCTCACATGTCCATTCGGCATTCAGCAGCTTCATGTGAATGTTATCGCAGTGAAAGCTACTTTTGAAAGCTCTCGCCTGCCTTTTATGTCAGAGCTGCTCTAGTGACAATGCCTGAATCAAGTGAACAGAGAAGACTTTTAAACTTCCTAGCTCATCACTTCTCTCAGAAATGCTTAGAACAACTTTTTTCCGTTTCCTTTCAGCCTTTCTTTCAGCGCTTCATGGATATTTCACGTAGTAGCAGAACCAATTCAAGCTTTTTCCCTTTTTCTTCTCCAACTCCATTCATAGCATGTGGTCCCACTTCTGCGCTCATTTAGTTGTTTGGAGGGAAGTGACTACCAATTTAACCTATATAGATTCACTTATCTGTCTCTACCTATGGTCAGCAAAAACAGCTATTCTTGCATACTTGGAAAGGTGCGTGCAGGAGCAGGAACTGTTTGAGGTGGTTTTACAACTGAAAAAAATGCTTGGGGAATCAGGCCTTACAGTTCTCCTCTATTTATCATAGTCTTAACTCCTCAAGTCCCAGTGAACAGAAATCAGAGTTTGTTCAAAACAACTTCTGTACAGAAATCCGTTGAATAAAACATTGGACGAAAACAGTTTGATCCTCTGCTTGCTAAATGCCGCTGTTCTGTGCCTGTTCAGTATTTCTTCTTTACAGAGAGATTATGTGTCATGCTGTGTCATTGTACATCGTTTTCCCTTTAAAAGCAATGGTTTGTCACCAATTTAATACAAGATCGTGTGGGTTCTTCGTCGGTGCCGTAGCTATTAAAATATGTCATTGCTTTGAACCATGTAGAAATTACTCTCCTGTAATCCCTTTGCATTCATGTTTTAGGAAGGTCATAGAGAAAGAGCTAAAAATATGTATTAAGCTTTCCTTTGTTTGTCCGAGATTTTTTTTTTTGTCATAAGCTACAAATCTTCCTGGCTCATCTGTTATGCTTTCCCTGCTCTCATCTAATCTTTGATGAGTCACTGCAGATGTTAAATCTAGTATATGTTAAGTCTAGTGAGTGCTCATTAATGACTCAAACCCATTGTTTTCACCACCCATAAAAGAGTTCACAGAAGGTGCAAGGTGCAATTGTAAATTTATTAGTAAAATTAAACTAGAATGTCTCTAAGTCAGAGATAAAGTGTCCGACGCCCCCGACTTTGGCTTTGTGAATTTGCATATGGAAAATCTCTGATGAAAGCAAACAAACAGCCTGAAATGGAAATGGAGTTGAGAGATTATTCCCTTGTACGCGGAGATGCCTTAAGAGGGTGCCTACCACCTTTGGCCATTGGGTCAAAAACACCCATCGTTCATGGAGACTTTTGAATCCTTAGTAACGAATGGAGCATGTCGTGCCACGTCTCAGCAACCAGTCCCCATCAGGGGCTTTGTCGCTACCTGGCTGCTAAGACTTGCATCCCATGCTGCTTCTGGACAGACCACCAAAGGCAAACCAGAGCCGCTTACTCAGATAATGCAAAGTAGAAGGGTCTTCAGAATATCAAGTATTACTTTTCTTCTGAAATTAGAAGTAAGGTGTTATTTTCCTTTAAATGTTCATGAAAACACTTTTTGCTCCAGCTATAATTATCTTTTCATTGAATTCAGGAGAGGGACCACTAAAAAAGAGAGGAGTCATCCTTAATCCTGTAAAGCTCCAAACTGTTTCATATCCGTTATGTATAAATGTAGTCTTTTTTTTCTATCCCTTAAGTGAACTTAAGAAGTCATGTTGAACTAAGCTAACAGAAGCCTATGCCATGTGTCTGTCTTAGACACGTAAAATATTTGGAATCTATTTCTGCTGTTGACTCCATATGGGCAATGACTGTGCTTGTGCCGCCAGCTCCACGTTTAGAGCTTAAAACATCCAAAAAATATGAGTATAGTGCTTTTGCAAGAGTAGTATGCATCTTAGTGGAAAATAATTATTCATTTTCTTGAATGGTTTGAGACTGGCTTGTGGAGAAGCAGTAGCTGGCTGCTGACGCTGAGGGAAGAGCTCAGGACAGGAGAAGTGTGTGGCTCCCAGGGAGGAACGCAAATCAGAGGGTTTTTCTGAGAGATCCAGGAGATGACTGATCCCTCTCTGAACAAGCAGATTTTATCAATTAATTCAAAATTTTTAAAATGCTGGGGGGGTTTTGGCTTTTCAACAGGTGAATGTTACTCGCGAAGACTCCCCCAGTGAAGATCCAGTCTTTCTCCGCACTTTAGGGAAAGGAGATTGGTTCGGAGAAAAAGCCCTTCAAGGGTAAGTGCTCCTTACGATGTAGCTCTTATGTTGAGATATTTTTGCAAGTTGTTCTGCTGTCCTCAGGGGGCTCGTGCAGCTTGGAAATAAGTTAGAATTGCATTGCAAGTGGTTTTCCCAGCTGTGTTTTGGAGTTGTGCGTTGTCACTTTGTGCTGTGTACTGCAGTGAGATTGGACCTTAATAGGGAAATAAGATTTGGTTTGCAATTGCGTGGCTGAATATAGATCTCCCCAGCCTGTTCTTAGATATAATAAAATGGCTTATCTTTGCACTGTCTTCCCTGACCATGCATTTGAGAATCCAAAACGTTTGACACTTTCCAACGTAGGTCTGTTTGACGTGTAGGGTAAGGACATAATCGTGGTCTTCTAGGTGGAGTAGACAGCTGAAGGAAGATGGTGGTGCGTTTTTTTGGGGTTTTTTGTTGGTTTTTTTTTTCCCAGTTGTGGTATTGTATCTGTGTGGGTTTGGGGAAGGGGGTAATTAAATGTGAGCGATCCGTTTTTCACAAGCACTTCGCTTAGGAGATGACTTCGGTGAACGAAAGAATAGAAACTGTAAATCCGTATTAAACGGATGATTGTTATAAAAGCATGCTTTATTTCCATAGGGA